TGAATATTTTTAATTAAAACAGTATTCGATATTGTATTCTTACACAATTATTTAAATTTTGTAGTACAAATCATATATACGCGGTATCCATACGTAAAAAGACGTACTTCCTGCGAACTACTTATAAATTAGTTCAATTTTTGCAAGGGTAGTAGTATAAGAGTAGAACCTTGTCCTAGTTTCGTAAATGTTCAAAGTTGATCGTTATTTATAATTTTTGTTCAAATTTTAATTATTGTAGAGCACAGAAACAATCTGTAAGACCATTTTGTTATACTTATAAAAATTTCTGACAATTCGAACGTTAACTTCGAAAATGTTACGAATTGCAAATTACATTACTCTAAAACCCAAAAATTTTGTCAAAATCTTTGATTCGAATATCAGGTGAGTTGTTTTCTTTAAAATAATATTGCAGTAGTGTTATTGTACAACCTGTTGCTAATATTATATGTCATATAACTGTTAACGTCTATCTGTCAAAAAACAACAGATGAATGTGCAATTTATTTGCATGGATAAATATTTAAACTTTCCAGCTTTAATTTCTCAAAGAATTTCTTCAAATACTTTTTATTGTCTAAATTATTATTGAATTGCAGTGTACGAATTTATAAAATCGTATTTCAGATATTTGTTACTATGAAGTATGTCAGCTAATTGGACTTTGAGCAGATGACATATATAAATAAACAAACTATACACTTCGTTTTATTTTTTTAGTACGAAGTACAAATTATATAACTCTAAATTTTATATAGTTTATTTAAATTTCAAATTGAATTTTCATTGAAAGCAATTAGCAATATGATATGTTTTAGATGTTTAGCAACACAGGCTGCTGTAAAAAATACAGTAGAAGAAAAAATTAAAAAAAGTGCAGCTCCAAAGGAAACTCAGTCCTTTGTTATGAATCTTTTCCGTGGACAATTGCAAACCAGTCAAGTATTTCCTTTTCCAGAAGTTTTAAATGAAGATCAAATTGATACATTAAAATTGATGATTGATCCTATGGAAAAATTCTTTGAGGTAATGAAATTATGTCAAAGATATGGAAAATTCTTTAAACATGTAGAACTAATTTTAATTTCTATTCAAAGGAAGTAAATGATCCAATGAAAAATGATGATAATGCGTCAATAGATGAAAAAACTATGGCAACTATGTGGGAACTTGGAGTATTTGGTCTTCAAGTTCCACAACAATATGGTGGAATGGGATTAAGTAATACCCAGTATGGTAGATGTGTTGAAATTTGTGGATATCATGATTTAGGTATTGGTATCACTTTAGGTGCACATCAAAGTATAGGATTTAAGGTATATTTTTATGTTTTCTTTATAAATAGTGTAAGAACTATGTTTTCAATCATTTAATTTGGTTCATACAGGGTATACTTTTATTTGGTACACCAGAACAAAAAGAGAAATATCTTCCAAGAGTTTGCAGTGGAGATTGTGCAGCATTTTGTCTTACAGAACCAAGTTGTGGTTCAGATGCAAGTTCAATTCGTTCTCGTGCAGTCAAATCAATAGATGGATCACATTATGTTTTAAATGGTAGTAAAATTTGGATATCAAATGGTGGTTTAGCAGAAATCATGACAGTTTTTGCACAAGTCCCTACAAAAGATCTAGCAACAGGTGAAACAAAGGACAAGGTTACTGCATTTATTGTAGAGAGATCTTTTGGTGGTGTAACAAGTGGGCCACCAGAAAAAAAAATGGGTATTAAGTGCAGTAATACAACAGAAATATATTTTGAAGATGTTAAAATACCAGCAGAAAATGTTTTACATACAGAGGGACAAGGTTTCAAGGTATTTATCATACTAGTTATCAAATTCTTTTAAAAACTTAAGACGAAATGTAACGTGTTTTGTACTTTATCAGGTTGCAATGAGTATTTTAAATAATGGCCGATTTGGTATGGCAGCTGCTCTTTCTGGTAGTATGCGTTATTGTATCAAAAAAGCGGTTGAACATGCAATACAACGTGTACAGTTTGGTCGTACGATAGATAATTATGGAAGTATTCAAGAAAAATTAGGTCGTATGGCAATGTTACAATATGTAACAGAAACCCTTGCATATACAATTTCTGGTAATATGGATAATGGAAGTCAAGATTACCATTTGGAAGCTGCAATTTCCAAAGTAAGTTTCAAATGAACATAGTAACTTATTAATCTGATTATTTCAAAATAATTATTCTTTTAGTGTTTTGCGTCAGAATCTGCATGGTGGGTCTGTGACGAAGCTATTCAAATTCTAGGCGGAATGGGATATATGAAAGAAGCAAACCTTGAACGAGTTATGCGAGATTTACGTATCTTTAGGATTTTTGAAGGAACTAACGATATTCTCCGTCTCTTTGTCGCACTCACTGGAATTCAGTATGCAGGAAGTCATTTAAAAGAATTACAAAGAGCATTTAAAAATCCTACTGCTAATTTAGGATTGATCTTTGAGGAAGCAACAAAAAGAGCAACGCGAGCAATTGGACTAGCATCAACGCCTAATTTTACTCACTTAGTTCATCCTAGTTTACAAGAAAGCGCAACATTTTGTGCCAAGGTTTATATTAATCCATAATTTTGATGTTAATACGTTAATAATCAATTGTTACTAATTGACAAATAATTATTTGTAGGGCCTAGAAGCTTTTGGTCAGGCTATAGAGTCCGCCCTAATCAGATATGGACGAGACATTGTGGATCAGCAATTTGTTCTTAATAGAATAGCTCAAGCAGCATTTGACTTGTATACTATGTCTGTTGTAATAAGCAGGTCAACTACATCTGCAAACAAAAACCTTCCAAGTACGGAACACGAACTTCTTATGACTCAAACTTGGTGTTCTGAAGTAAGTTTATACCTTCAGCAATCATTAATTTTACTTTTATTTAAATTATGTTCTTACTAAAGTACTGAACGTCATTAATTATATTATAGGCAGCCAGCCGTGTGAGTTATAACTTAAAATCAGTTTCTTCTGATAAACACTTAAATGTGTTTAATAACTTAAGCAAAATTTCAAGAAATGTGTGCGGCGTTGGTGGATGTGTTCAGTTAAACCCACTCGGTTTTTAATTAATAAAATCCGTCATTAAATAGCTAATG